TCAGCAGGCGTCCAATGTTGCCCCTGCTTTTCCTCCGGCTCCCCACATATCTGAAAAAGGACTTCTTATTGTCCTTGATGCTCGAAGCTAGTTGGAGTTCAGTTGCAGCCTTGGCTTTCCTGGTATGCTCCCTGCAGGACCGGACCAGTGCAAAATAACTCTCCTTGGAGGTGACTCCTATCCTCCATTCTTTGTAGGCCTTTCTTTTTAGCCTCAGGAAGTCTGCTAGGTCCCTGGAGAGCCAGGGGGGCTGCTGTGCCCTCTTGCTGCCTTTCCTCCGAGATGGAATAGCCTTAGCTTATGCATTGAGGATCGCTCCCTTGAGAAGCAACCACTCTTCTTGAGCTCCCCTCTCCTAACAACTGTTAGCTGTTGGCATACTGAAACTACTATTGTGCTGACTGATACTGTTACCTTGCACTTCCCTAAGTTTCCCTACCGTACCTGTCCTGTACTTTGATGATAAGCTCTTTATAGCAGGAGGAACTTTGTTTCTTTGTGTTTAGACAGCACATAGCAAGTCAGAATTCTGGACCATGACTAGGGTTCCTGGGTGCTGTGCCAAAAAACAAATAAATAATAAGTAGTATTTAAGTGTAATATGTGTGGTATATGCTATCCTTGCACCAACATAACAACATGTATGACTGGTGTAACTAATGAGAATCCTATGTTGAACTCTGGGAAAAATCAGGGGTAAAATAATGATTGTGTAAATTATGACAGTAATGTTGCACATCAGCTCCTTTCCTGGGTATGCACACAGGCTATGACTAGCTCCCCAAATACTTTTGTTATGAAGTGCTGTAATAGGACTTATTACAGCAACTATCCCAGGAGAATTGATCATCTGCCCACTCAAGATACTGGTGTAAGATATGTCTGTGTACAAAAGCAATTTAAGTAGCAACTATGTTAACATGGCATATGTCTAGGTGCTCCCTAAAAAGTTCAATTTTCTGTGTTCAGTAGTAACTATGACAAATGTATTACATACATCCTGCTTCAAATACTTTGTTTCAGTAGGACAATATTTTGCCCGTATTCTTTTCCTTGCGTTTTTATCACATACCTGAAGTTGTAGGAATAATTTTAGATTATGATTCCAATATCCCATTTAAAAAAAAGGCTAATCTTTCCTCTGAGCTCAGAACTCAATTAAAGGAATCTCTTGGGTAATGCAGGAACATTCTAGAATAACCGACTCCATCACCCAGCAAGTTTGAGTAGCATCTGGTAAGATGGGATTTGTAGGAATCATTAGCTAGCTGCTATTACATACTTTTAATTATTTCTTTGCTGCCTAAAATGATTACATTAGATCACAAAATCAGATTTATTGAACAGGATTAAAGGAAAGTAAAATTGAAAAACAAACTTAAATTTCTGTGCAAACTTCATGATTGTAAGGAAAAATGCATGGACCTTGCAAAACTTTTGCAAAGATCTATTTAATAAGGAAGAAATGGAACTGAAGGAGAAAAAGAAAGTAAGTCAGTCTGAGTTTAAAGATGTTCTGTCTTTTGTATTACTCTGTCAGTAGCTGACTAGAATTAGTAAAGATCAACAGTGGGAGCTGTGACTGTAAATTCTATGTAGCAGGGCATAGTAATTTGGACTTCTAAACATGAGGCAATATTGATTCTTCTGTACGTAAGCCTGGCTGCAGGGCTACCCACAACCCAACTCTGGATCCCTGGAGGTGCCCACAGCCTGGAGTAGGGGGCTCCCGGAGTGAGGGACATTCCCTTCACAGGAAGGCACCTAGTGTCCCTGGACCTCCAATTAGACACCACACAATTCACAACTACGTGC